AGATGCAACTACATGTCTACCCAGTGAGGTCTCCGGCTGTTTTCCTGAGAAGGGCCTGCTTAATGGGCATACACCGTGAACTCCTCCACTCTTCCTGACTTCCTGCCCAGGAAACAGATCTGCTATCTGGAGATGATCAGCCATCTACCACCAGTGAGAGCAAAAGTGACCAGATTTGGACAGACAGTTGGAAGTGGCTGGATGATGCAGGACGCCCTCCAATGACTGCACCCGCTCTGTTCTGTCTTCCTTGCAATCTGACTCAAGTACTGGAGCTGAATTGGTTACGTGTAGCCAAATTTAATACCAGTGGTTACAGAAGGAGACCTGAAAATCCATCCATCCTAAAAGAGCAGGAGTTTAAAATCCAAACGCAAACAGGAGCTGGGCAGATCAAATGTTAAGTCAGTCTGCCCAAGTGTACTCAGGTGGTGACCTGGAGAGAGCCGGCCACCTGTGGGCAGGCCCAACGGCAGCTCCAGCGTTCCCAGCACGCCACAACTTCTGGCTGTAAAGAAGAGGCGCGAGTCTGAACGTTCATGGAAAGTTTCCTGGCTTCTAAGTGGGATTCGAATTTTTAAAATTTTCACTGTGTGCATACAACAAAATACGACTGCAGGCTCACTTCAGCCTGAAGGCTACCAGCTTCCCACCTTTGCAGAGAGGGTCGAATAGAGAATACCTGAGTTCCGGAGACGTAATAATGGCCTGCAACATGCTGACCGTATTCTGTTAACAGCTTTACACCTACCACCTCGCTTCTTTCTGTCTAAGCACCCTAGCAAGTATTACCAATGAGGACACGGAGGCTTAGAGAGATTAAGAACTTGCTTAGCTCACAGAGCTGATGTGTGGCCCGCCCGGGACTTCAGCCCGGCCCGTGTGACTCCTTGGTCTGTGGCGTTTTCCCTCGTCATAAGGAATGCCTATTGCAACCAGTAAGCCCAGACACCTGCTCCTGATCACCACCAGCCACCGACGGACAAAGGAGTGGCACTCAGACTTTCAACCCAGCTCCAAAACACACCCTTGCTTCCACCTCTTTTCTTTCTTGCCGCTTAACACGAAACAGCAAAGCACCGTCCAGACTCATCCATCTGCTAATTCACTCAAAGAAAGAACGGATGCTTGTACAGAGCTTGTCCGTTTACTAGTGCTTTCAAGCGAGAATCTCACTTCATCCCCACGTCAACCCGACTCATCAACTGACAGCTAATGAACCAGGGATCACTGCGATGAGTGACTTGGTTTCAGAGACAGCAGCCATCAGCAGGGCCCATTCTCACGGACACGGACCGGCTTTCCAATGCCAAGCCCTGCGCTCTCTGCTTCCTTCACCAGACTTCCAACCCCCACCCCCCACCCCCCCACCCCCCCCCGCCTCACTTTAAAAGAAACATTTGCTTCAACTAATTCCTTCTTAATGCTAAAGGAACTCCAGCCTGGCTGACAGCACTCAGGTGCCATATTTATGTTTTCATGAATACCTTCACCCTCGAGTGTAGCCAGCGAGGACAAAAATAAATGCATCATGTAATACACTCAGAGCTGGAATGCAAATGGGCACATGCACAAGTCTTGGGATCTAATTTTAGAAAGAAACAGCCAAAAAGTCTCACACAGCACAGTGAGCATCTGGCCCCATGGGAGGCTGCCCACGCTGCTTTAAACCTCATTTAACCCAGGAAGAGAAGGGATCTGGAGTCCTGGCTGCTATTCTGCTTGCAGAGGTACCAGCTGGGTGAGAACCAGGAGGCTTTTCATCATGTTCTCCCTGCGAGGAGCTAAGGCCCAGAGCAGGAAAAAGGCTCATGCCTCTGGGTGACGTCCCGTCCTCAGCAGCTGCTCCTGAAAGGCTGCCCCGTGGTGACCGTGCAGCTCCCCCAGCACCGACTTGCGCCAGGAGCTGGGAGGAGGGGACAGCAGGCAAACAGTGCCCACAGACCCCAGTCTGAGCACTGACTTGGAGTGGGGCTCACATAAGGCTTCGGGGCCCTATCAGGCCACTCCTGGAATCCCGGCCCCGTCACAGGCTCACTCACCCAACCACCGAAGGCGGCCGTAGCCTCCCTCACACTGTAGCATACTTTTAATTAACCTTCCTGGTTGCTGGTGAGCACGAAAATGGGGCAGCGGTTTCTGTTTCCTCCGTTCACTGAAAGACGCCAACCTCCTACAATGCTGCCTGGCACAACGTAAGCTTCAGTAACCACTTGTCGAACAAATGCACAAATGACGTGATCCCGGGAAGGTTCCTCCTGGACCCGTGTGGAACAGACAGGCCAGAGGACAAGAATAGGCGCCCATCGACTCTGTCCCCTGCTTCCTCATTTTCCCTTTATAGACGTACGCGACTGCAGGTTCAAGTTCTCTGAGCTCCAGGGTGGGGTCTGGTATGTCTGCTTTCACGGTCTTCCTGCTATGACAGCAGCAGCACCCGTAACTGTGCCGCCAGTGCGCCGCTGTCTGCCTGTCCCCACCCTGTGACACCCTCGGCTCTAGTGTGTAAGGGCATCTCACACGAGGCACCTGTTCTGTGCCAGGCGCTGTGCCAGACAAGGGGCTTCAGCGTCAAGACCACAAGCCCCGTCTTCTAGAACCGACTGCTTAGGAGGGAGCCAGACAGATGAACAATTAGAACACAATGCAGCAAGCACCAGGATGGGGGTACCATGGCCAAGGTCACAGAATGCCAACCCCCAATCAAGCCCACCCGGTGATTTTTTTTTAAGATTTTACTTATTCATTTTGTGTTTTTTTTTAAAGATTCATTTATTATTTATTTGAAAGTCAGAGTTAAGGCCAGCGCCGTGGCTCAATAGGCTAATCCTCTGCCTTGCGGCGCTGGCACATTGGGTTCTAGTCCTGGTTGGGGCGCCAGATTCTGTCCCAGCTGCCCCTCTTCCAGTCCAGCTCTCTGCTGTGGCCCGGAAGTGCAGAGGAGGATGGCCCAAGTGCTTGGGCTCTGCACCCTCATGGGAGACCAGGAGAAGCACCCGGCTCCTGGTTTCGGATCAGCACGGTTCACAGCGCACCGGCCGCAGCGGCCATTGGAGGGTGAACCAATGACAAAGGAAGACCTTTCTCCCTGTCTCTCTCTCTCTCACTGTCCACTCTGCCTGTCAAAAAACAAAAACAAAAACAAAGGAAAGTCAGAGTTACACAGAGGAGAGACAGAAAGAGAGAAAGAGAGAGGTCTTCTATCCACTGGTTCACTCCCCAATTGACCACAATGGCTGGAATTGCAATGATCCAAAGCCAGGAACCAGGCACTTCCTCCAGGTCTTCCACGCAGGTGCAGGGGCCCAAGGACTTGGGCCATCTTCTACTGCTTTCCCAGGCCATAGCAGAGAGATGGATTGGAAGTGGAGCAGCCGGGGCTAGAACCAATGCCATATAGGATGCTGGAGCTTCAGGCCAGAGCGTTAACCCACTATGCCACAGCACCAGCCCCACTTATTCATTTTGAAAGGCAGAGTTAGAGAGAGAGAGAGGAGGCGAGACAGAGAGAGAGGCCTTCCATTCACTGGTTCACTCCCCAAATGGCCATAATGGATGGGGCTGGGCCAGGCTGAAGCCAAGAGCCAGGCACTTCTTTCGGGTCTCCCATGTGGGTGCAGGGGCTTGGAGACTTGTGTCGTCCTCCACTGCTCTCCCGGGTACCTCCATCATGGGACTTGCTGCACTGTGTTCTTTTTATTTTTATTTTTTTTAAAGATTTTATTTATTTATTTGAGAGGCAGAGCTACAGACAGTGAGAGGGAGAAACAGAGAGAAAGGTCTTCCCTCCACTGGTTCACTCCCCAAATGGCCGCAACGGCCAGAGCTGTGCCGATGGAAGCCAAGAGCCAGGTGCTTCCTCCTGGTTTCCCATGCGGGTGCAGGGCCCAAGGACTTGGGCCATTCTCTGAGGCTTTTCCAGGCCACAGCAGAGAGCTGTATTGGAAGAGGAGCAGATGAGACTCGAAGCGGCACCCATATGGAATGCTGGCGCCGCAGGCAGAGGATTAGCCCACTGCACCGTGGCACCGGCCTCCTGCATTGTGTTCTAATTGTTTACCTGTCTGGCTCCCTCCTAAGCAGTCAGTTCTGGAAGACGGGGCTTGTGGTCTTGACGCTGAAGCCCCTTGTCTGGCACAGCGCCTGGCACAGAACAGGTGTTCTATGAGGTGCCTCGTGTGAGACGCCCTTACACACTAGAGCTGAGGGTGTCACAGGGTGGGGACAGGCAGACAGCGGCGTGCTGGCGGCACACAGTTACGGGGGCTACTGTTACTGAAGAAGGAAGACCGTGAAAGCAGACAAGTAAAGAGACAATGAGAATAAAATGGGATGCGGTCGCCACGTAGGGACCACGGGAACCGAGAGGAAAGGGCCCTCCGTTGGCAGGAGAAGCCAGGGAAGAGCTACAACAGGGCAGGGTCCTGATGCCGACTCCGGAGAAGCAGAGATTTCTCAAGTGGGCAGAGGAAGGGGACACGGGCTCTCGGTGAACTGCCCAGAGCAGTGCCTGGCGTGAAGGGCACGGCTGCTCAGGATTACCCAATCTCCTGGAAGAGTACGGATAATGCCCCATAATTTCAGGCTGCTCAGGGCTTCCAGTAAATGATCCCCTTCCTTCCTGAAAGCTGCAGAAAGTGCAGGTCACCGACGCGCGGCTGCGCGGCCCACCCTGACGCCAGCAGCGTGCTCCCCAGCACCTCTCTGGTGGAATTAAAAACCTGGATTCCTGCCGAGTTTGCAAACTTCCAGTCCCTTGCTTTAGTTCACGGAAAAAGCTCTTTCCTAAGGACAGGAGGAAATGCACAGAAACTAATCTGGCATCAAAGAAAAAAAAAATCATCCCTTTTGCACTTCCTGCTAAGGAAGGGCACTCCCAAATCCAGAGAGGAGGAAAGGGGCGATCAGGAGCTAAAGGTGGGATAGCGAATCCCTGCGCACTAAGGAATCAAGGTCTCTTATTAAAGAGAACTCCCTGGATTTCTGCTCACAGCACCCACCTCTCTGTTCAGAGTCAACGAAGAATTCTTGCCCCCGAAGTTATTCTCAGCCTGTGACGGCTCCAGTTGAGCTCGGCGACCCAGCTTGGCCACCTGTAAGGAGATGGAACAGGAACGTGAGCCCGGGCTGGACTTACGAAGCGAGGTGCAGAGGATCTGAGTCACTCAAGCATGTTCCTAGAAATCTCTCTAAACCCTGAAAGCCAAGTCAGCGCCACCTGGCAGAAGAGGAAATTCACAGGTTAGGGACCAGAAGGTTTTCTTTTACCTGCTGCAGGGACTGCAAGAGCACAACCACTTTTCCACCCCAAAAAAAATGCAGTCAGATATTCTAGGCTGGCAGAGCCCTCACGCCATGCATCAGGGAGGAAGTGGGCAAAGGCTACCGTGTCCCCGCGCGAGATCTTAGGCAGGTCTAATCTGAAAGCTGCAGCTTGGCATAAAAATTATTATTTCAGAGCAAATGTGGATCCCACGTGCTCTGATACACACACTCACTGGGTCTGCATTCACAGACACGAAGGGACTTCTCTAAAACCCTGGGGACATCAGGGCACTTCACAGCTCTGCGTCAGCACAGGAACCACGTGCAGGGGTCTCCCAAGGCCCTCCGGCCAAGGCTCTGTGTCTCAGACACTTCCCAGCACATACACAACAGGGAGGCACACTGCTGGATGCTGACACGTTTATATTTCCACTGTTCACTCCGTGGCCTCTTTATTAATACAAGCGCTTTGATTAGCACTTATTCAAGGTGGGCATCATCTGATTCTGGAGATAACGGGGACGGGGATGGAGACTGATGCCGTCTCACAAAGGAGGAAACCGAAGGCCAGCAAGGCGAGTGGGCGGCAGACATCAACCTGAGAGCAAAGTCTTCCGACTTCAACACGTGGCGTCTGCCCGACAGAGGATGCTGGAGTTTCAGTCTGAAGGTGTTCTAAGAACGGACAGCATCCCCACCAGGGGAGCCGCACAGAACCTCTGTGCTGCTCAGACTTCCGACTGCAATGTCCACCGTTTAGGCTCCAGGGAGGACAAAGCAACCTTGCTGAAAACACGCAGCGCTTTCTCTTCCCCAGGTGCACGCACAGTTCGCTCCTTCCACACACGGCCACCCTCCTCCGGGTGTCACAGTACTGGTCATCTAAATGTGAGCGGCTCCGTGCAGCGGACGGGCTGAAACAGAACTTCAACGGTCTTGTCTCGCGTTACTAATTATTCTCTAATAAAAGCATGTTAAGGTTTTAAACTTCTTGAAGCTCCTGGATAAATCCACAGGGAAGAAAACGACCACCTCATTTTTATATATCTTACCTTAATCATTTATTTTTTATTTGCGAGACAGAGACAGTAAACAGAGCTTCCATCCACTGCTTCACACCCCCAGATATCGGCCACGGCCCAGGGTTTGAAGCCAGGAGCCAAAGCCAGGAGTCTGGAACACAATCCAAGTCTCCCATGTGGTGGCATGGACCTAATTACTCCAGCCATCACTGCTGCATCCCAGGGTGCACACAGCAGGAAGCTGGAACCAGGCACTGATAAGGATGCTGGCGTCCCAAACATCTGCCCCGATACCACGCATTTTAAATGCATTTAACATCTTGCCCGTCTTCCCCCACTAGAACATAAGCCCCATGCGATGCAGGGCTGTTTGAGTCACTGTTCTGTTCTCTAACACCTAGAACAGCGCGTGATACAAAGTATAAACACTTGCTAGATGAAAAGGGTAACTGCTCCGTTTGCATCCTCAGGTACTAAAAAAAGGTCGGAAACCCACGGACAGATTTTCATAATTTGCTTTTTGCAGGAACTTTCTTAAATCTTCTGGTACGCCTCTGAGTAAATCGGGGGCAAGGGCGGCTAACTCCTTCTCACAGCTTAGGGCACACTGGGCTTTCCTCTGCACCCCACTTCCACGTCTGCAGCCCTGGCCTGAGCACACGGAACCACCACCGCCTCACCGCCTCACGTCACCCATCTCCATCAGAACCGCATGTCCTTAACCACCACACCCAAGGAACGCCCGTCTCCTCGGGGGATGACGCCAAGAAAGGCCTGCCTCCCCTCCAGGCACCACGCAGGGTGGCTTTAGCGCGGACTCCTGGAAGCGCAAGGCCCTAGGGGAAACCCTGGGACAGGTGCCCTTGCGACCCTGGCTCGGGACGCCCCCCGTCGCCCTCGGATCGGTCCCTTCTGGGGGAGCTCGCACTCGGGGCTTCCCCCCAAAAATGCAGCGAGGCTCGGAAATTTCCCACCAGCTCCGGAGGCCGGCGGCGACAGGCCCTGTTTTCCACTGAGAATTTTCCAGCCAACGTGCCCGACACCAGCAGCGGAGGAGCCCACCGCGGCCCCGGGGGCGGGGCGCGAGAGGCCGCCTCCTCCCCGGACGCACCCCGCCAGCGGCTCGCGACCCGCTCGCTCCGGGGCACTCAGGGAAGCGGGGTGCACGGGGGTCGCTCCTCCCCACCCGCCAAACCCTGGCCCCAAGCCTCCCGCATCGGTCCTCACGGAGGTGACTGTGCCGCGGAACCGCTCCTCGTCGAAGTCCAGCATATCCTCCATCGCGGCGGTCGTCTGTCGTCACTTCCTGGAAACCAAGCTGCCCAGGCGCGTCCCTGACAACGGCTCCGCCCAGCCATCCCGATATTTAAAGGGGCCGCCGCACTGTTCCTGTGTTCCGTGTGCCAGTCTCCAACTGAACCAAGTCTTTCCTAAAGCTGCCTTGGCGGACTTCTGGAAGAAAGCTCCTGATAGTGCAGCCCACTCTGGCTGCCCCTGCGGGACGGTGAAAAGCTGTTAGTCCTTAGGAACTGTTGGCAATTGTAGACAGCACAGCCAGGCGCTGCTGCCAGCAGCAGGAATTGTACTGTCCCTACCACGTGCATAGCTCTTTGCAACTATGGAGGGAAAAAATGATTAACTCGAGCGAGGGGTAGGACAACCTTTGAGGAAAGCAGAGTAAGTTGAATTGTTCCCATCCGACAGGGTTCACAGGGGGTCAGGTGTAATAAATGGTTTCTAATGCCTCATAGATAATGGTAATCAGTGTAATCTCTTCCTTCAAGGAATCCGTAGGAGGCTGAGCGGACATACCCACTACCTAAGCAGTAACTACTTACAGAGCACAAATATGAGGATCCCATTTAATCCCAACAATCCCAGAGTAGCAGTGATGTCTCCACTCAACAACCGTGGACGGTAGGGTGCCAGGAAGCTGTCTGTCACCCGAGAGCTCCACCACGGAACCTGATGTTTTCACCCCAGATCTTCCTGGAGTGTGTTCTCCCACACGTACTACTCAGTGCCAGCCATTCTGCAGAGGGAGGTGACCCACAAGCGGCCAGCTGATGGGGCAAACAGGTTGAATCTTCATTCATTGGCTTTTTTTTTTTTTGAAGATATATTTATTTATTTGAAAGGCAGACTGACAGAGAGAGAGAGAATCTTCCATCTGCTGGTTCACTCCCTAAATGGCCAAAATGGCTGGGGCTGGGCCAGGCTGAAGCCAGGAGCCTGGAACTCCATTTAGGTCTCCCACATGGGTGGCAGGGGCCCAGATACTTGGGCCCTCGTCGGCTGCTTTCCCAGGCACATGAGCAGGGAGCCGGATTGGAAATGGAGCAGCTGGGACTCGAACTGGTGCTCATATGCGGTGGTTTAAGTTGCTGTGTAAGCCACAACACTGGCTCCATTCACCAACTCTTCATGTGAGGTCCCCAAGTCAACGCCACATCCCAAGTCCCCGGCACTGACCCCTTGGCCCCACAGAAGGTGGCTCGTGTCCCCAGAGGTGAACAACGTGTCCAGCATCATGCTGGGAACAAGGCCTGGTGGCCAAGGGAGCAGAGCAAGGACTTGCAGTGAGGACCTCTTAGAACAAAACATCAGGTGCTTCTTAACTATCCAATATGCTGCTCCCAGCCATCCACTGTGCACGTTCGCTGTGGACTGTGCTTCAGCACCCTGGGGACGGCGAGAGCACCTATTGGGGGTCGGCAGAGCTGAGTCCTCCTTTGCAGCAGGCACACAGCCCTCCCCCACCTCGGCTGCTGCTTCTGTGAGCCGTCCTGGAGACGAAGAGCCTACACTCACCAGCTCTGCTCCAAGAAACAGTCATCACACGCCCAAGACGGACGCAATACAGGCTCCAGGGGACTCCGTTCTCGGCTCCCACAGCGGCAAGAAGGGCTCGGCCCTGGGCTGTTCCCCTTTCTTTTTATTTTATTTATTTATTTATTTATTTATTTATTTATTTATTTATTTTTGACAGGCAGAGTGGACAGTGAGAGAGAGAGACAGAGAGAAAGGTCTTCCTTTTGCCCTTGGTTCACCCTCCAATGGCTGTCGTGGCCGGCGCACCGCGCCGATCCAAAGGCAGGAGCCAGGTGCTTATCCTGGTCTCCCCATGGGGTGCAGGGCCCAAGCACCTGGGCCATCCTCCACTGCCACCCCCCCCCCCCCGGGCCACAGCAGAGAGCTGGCCTGGAAGAGGGGCAACCGAGACAGAATCCGGCGCCCTGACCGGGACTAGAACCTGGTGTGCCGGTGCCACAGGCAGAGGATTAGCTTATTAAGCCGCGGCGCCGGCCTGTTCCCCTTTCTTATCAGCCCCCGTATGTCACCATGCCACCGCCTCGGGATCTGTTTCCAGGCCTTTGCCCCACTCTCCACCTTCCTGAAAACAAGGGGTAAATGGTGCTCCCCTGGGTAGAGGGAAGTCCTGGAACTGTGGCTTCCAGACCTTACTGAGCCCCTGGACTATACCTGACGCCAAGGCCACAGCACCAGCCACTGAGCTGAGAGCCCACAAGGGACTCACTGGGCATTGTTTCTCCTCCTGCAAGGCTTCGCTCCGAGTTCTCCCTAAGGCCTTCCCTGGTCCCCGCACTTTAAACTGCAGCCTAGGCCAGTGCAGCACCCCCACCCTCCTTCCCTACTCCCTGGAGTCATTTGTCTGCTGCTGCATCCACGGAGTCTAGAACAATTCCCCTGCAGAATGCAAACCTCACCACGGCCTCGCAGCTTCTGGAGGCAGTGCAGGTCAGTAGCCAGGGGCGCAGCCCGGGCACTGGACTTCCTGGGTCCAAATCCCAGCTTTGCCGGTCACAGCTATGTGGCCTGAGGCAAGTTACTTTTGGAGCCACTATGCCCAGATTTTTTTTTTTCATCGGTTGCGCCATTGAAAATGATTCCTACCCTAGGGGCTGGTGCTGTGGCGCAGTGGGTCAACGCCCTGGCCTGAAGCGTTGGCTCTCTGCTAAGGCCTGGGAAAGCAGTAGAAGATGGCCCAAGTCTTTGGGCCCCTGCACGCATGTGGGAGACCCGGAAGAAGCTCCTGGCTCCTGGCTTTGGATCAGCGCAGCTCCGGCCGTTGCAGCCGATTGGGGAGTGAACCATCAAATGGAAGACCTTCTCTCTCTCTCTCTCTCTCTCTCTCTCTCTCTCTCTCTCTCTCTCTGCCTCTCCTCTCTCTGTGTAACTCTTTCAAATAAAACAAATAAGTCTTAAAAAAAGAAAATTATTCCTATCCAAACCATAGAATCTGAGTTCAATATCAGCTCCGCCATTCATAAGCAAGGTGACCTAAAAACAACAACAACAAGGTGGCCCCTCAACTGTACAGTGGTCCAGCAGCGTGCCCTGTGCTGCACAGAGCGTCCCGGCTGGAGCCGGGCGCCCTTTGGGTCTGGCCGGGCTGCAGGGGGCGGCGGCCATTCCCAGGAGAGGGACCCCTCGGACCGACGTCCGGGGCTGCAGGGGGAGTCTGGCCGGCCCTACGCTGTTTGCTCGTGGGAAAAGCCCTCGAGGTCCCGGCGGGACGGCGGAGCGAAGTTGGAGCGCAAACGTCCCCTCCTCAGCCATCTGGGAAACCGGCTCGGGCCAACCGCCGGCTCCGCGCTGGCTGGCGCGGCTCCCACGGAGCCCCCGGCGGGGAAGGGAGGCCGAGACGGCCGCGCCCGCACGCACGGGGGTCCCCCCGCGCCCGCAGCCCCCTCTCCCGCCCCGCGGCCCTCCCGGCCTCCGCGTCTCCGTCACTGGCGGCCGGGCCTCGCCAGAGGGCACCCTCGGCCTTCCGGAACGCGCCACCATTTTTTTTTCCGGCGCCCCTAGAGCTTCTGCAGGCTCGCGCGGCCGCCGACGGCGGGTTTGCCCCGTGAGGAGCGGGGGGCCAGGCTGGCCGCCGCCCGGGACGCTGCCCGAGGGACGGCCGGGGGCCCGGAGGGGCGGAGGCGAGGGGCGCGGAGTGCGCGGGCCGACAGCTGGCCAGAGGGCGCAGGGGCCGGGGGGAGCCGCCAGGGAGGGGGCTGCTCGGAGTAACTTTCCAGAAAAACAGCCAACGTGTAGCAGGAGTGACTCCAAGAGGGGAAAAAAAGTTCAGTGACCACGTCGGACGCAGCGTGTTTTTCAAATGGGCTCGGCTTTTCCCGTGCCTGTTTAAAACATTACAATCGTGCAGCGGCGAAGGAGGCCGGGCCCTGCCTCCCTCCCCCACCCGGGGCGGGAGACGTCATGGGAGGGAGGTATAAAATTTCAGCAGAGAGAAATAGAGAAAGCAGTGTGTGTGCATGTGTGTGTGTGAGACAGAGAGAGACGCAGAGCCAAGTCCAAGGCAAAGAGCGAGAGAGGCGAGAGACAGGGGAAGAAGCGTGCGGGAGAAGCCTGCCGGAGCAGCCCTGCAGTGAGCTGCCTTCTGTTTTCTTTCCTTTTATTTTTCATTTTTATTTTTTTTAAAGAGGAGCCAGGGACAGAAGCCATGGCGGAGGGAGAAGACACGCAGAGGTGCTGGTGACCGTGGGCGGCCGAGGGGGCTCTTGGGGCTGCCAGTTGCACGGGACTCCCCGCGTCTCAGCCAATGAAGAGGACACCAGGCAGCGAGAGCAGAGTGGTTTAGAAAGCCCCCAGCGAGTGTAGACGGAAGGGCAAGCATGGATGGAGTGCCTGGGGGACGAGGGTGCCCCGTGTTGCCCCCACCTTTAGCCGGCCCAGCAGCTGCCCAGCCCTGCCCATCCCCACCTACTCACTGGTGATCTGACTTTTCTGTTTTTCTTTTTCTTTAATATTATCCCTCCCCCCCTCCTTTTTTTTTGTTCCTGTTCTCCCTCCCTCTTCTCCTTCAGGGCAAGGCGAGGGTTTTGATTTTTGGGACCCGGCCACGGTCCTTCCGTGCCCTCTTTAAAATACCCGCTTTCTCCCCATCGCCAAGTGGCGTTTGGCAATATCAGATATCCGCTCTATTTATTTTTACCTAAGGAAAAACTCCAGCTCGCTTCCCACTCCCAGCTGCCTCGCCACCCCTCCCAGCCCTCCGCGTGCCCAGCAGAACCTGTTTAGACACATGGGCGAGAATCGCGGCGCACCGAGGCACACAGTCCGCTCCGCCGGCCTCGGGGCTGCCAGCGCTTCCTGGAAGTCTGCAGCTCGCGCAGTGCAGTGAGTTCATGCACCTTCTTGCCAAGCCTCAGTCTTTGGGATCTGGGGAGGCCGCCTGGTTTCCCTCCCTCCTTCTGCACGTCTGCCGGGGTCTCCTCCTCTCCAGGCCGCGCCGCCCCCCCTGGCCTCTCTCCCCGGCTCGCCCCATGAAGATGCACTTGCAAAGGGCTCTGGTGGTCCTGGCCCTGCTGAACTTTGCCACGGTCAGCCTCTCTCTGTCCACTTGCACCACCTTGGACTTCGGCCACATCAAAAAGAAGAGAGTGGAAGCCATTAGGGGACAGATCTTGAGCAAGCTCAGGCTCACCAGCCCCCCTGAGCCGTCGGTGATGACCCACGTCCCCTACCAGGTCCTGGCCCTTTATAACAGCACTCGGGAGCTGCTGGAGGAGCTGCAGGCAGAGAGGGAGGAAGGCTGCACTCAGGAAAACACCGAGTCGGAATACTATGCCAAAGAGATCCATAAATTCGACATGATCCAGGGACTGGCGGAGCACAGTAAGTCCCGGTCCTCACCAGGGTCACCGCCCTGGAGGGTCTCCACCGGAGCAGGGCGCTGGGCAGAGGGGGCCCGGCAGCGGCCACACCGCGGAGCACCCGGGCTCAAGACATGCGATGTGCCGAGGGGGCCCGGTAGTGGGTGGGTGGGGTGGGAGACAGAGCCCTTCTGGTGAGAGCCGGGGCGCCTCCGGGAGGCCGGCAGCTTGCCGGACTCACATCACATCCTTGGCGGATTTTAAGTCGGAGTTGCACAGGGCTGCCTGGAGAAGCATATGTGTTCTCGCACATGCGATCCTACGGGGAACTGTAAACATATGGGTGCCATACCGGGGTGGGGTGGGGGGCGGCTGGCTCTCTCCCTCGAGCCCTGACAGCTCCACGAGTCTGGAGACTCGGATCCTGTCCCTGCTTCTCACAGCTCGCGGTGACACGTCTCCCTGTCAGCTGTCCCAGTTTCTGGGAAGAACAGTACCTGCCCCCAGATCAATGTATGGGAAGCGCCCGGGAGCCCAGGCGAGAGAGCCTGGGCCCTTCTGTCTGCACCACACACATGACCCACGTGAGCCCACGTGTGTAGGGGGAGGGAGTGCACATGTGTTCACATGTCCGTGGACTTGAGGGCAATGCGTCGTCTCGGGTGGGACAGTGGATGGATTGCTCAAAACGGGCACCTTCCTGGGACCGGGGGAACACATGAGAGCAGGGTTGGAGCTCTGGGTGTGTAGGGGAGGACGGGTGGCCCTCTGTGTCTGCGTGTCACGGGCGGGTGGTCCGGCGAGAGAGCGGGTTGGGGGGAGGGGGTGGCCGCGGGGCCGTGTGTCCGGGAGCCTGTCTTCCCAGGAGCCTGCCGTCTGCGCGCAGGAGCTGGGAGCTGCGGGCCGAGACGCCTGTGTGTGTTTGTACACGTGTGGAAGTCATGTGTGTTTACTGAACGGGGATTTAAAAAACCTCAATACAACAGAGAGAAATTTGGCAGATGTTAAGAAACTGACAGCCCAGGAGAAGAGGAATGTGAGCCGCTCATGGGCCAGAGGCTCCGGCGCAGCTCTGTTTGCTTTTCCTACCAGCAGGTGTCCTCGCCGCCCTGCCGACCTAGCCCAGGCCCACCTGGGAGGTGCGCCGTGCACGCACTGGGGGCGGCAGTGGGATGGTGGGTGGGGGGTGCACAGAAAGGGTGGGAAGAAGCTTGGCTAGAGAAAAGGAACAGGCGAGGGGACTGACACGTGCACCAGCTCTGGCTGCAGGAGGTGCAGAAGGCCCCACTGGGAGCCAGCCCGTGCCAGGTGGAGGAGCTTGTGGTTACTGGCGAGGGGTTCCTGGGGCTGCCTGGGGCGCCCTTCCTTAGGAAGTGGCTACCGTGTGGGGCGGAGGCCGGGGGCCGAGGCAGAGCTGGGGTTCTCTGGCCAGGCCTCTCTGGGTGGGGCTGGCTCAGGGTCTGCCAGGGACCCGCAGCAGCTGGATGGCTGAGCCTCCAGGTCCCTGGGCGCCCACCAAGGCCACAAACATAAGAGAAGGGTGGGAATCTGATGTTGGAGGAGAGTCCAGGGCCAGAGGGCAGGACTCAGACCTTAATGGTCCAGGTCAGGAGGAGGAGTCCAAAGTGGGGGAGGGGTTCTGAGTCACCAGGCTCCACCCAGCCTGGAATCCTGAACTGAGAATGAATGAGCTAGCTGGATGGAAGGCCGGGCAAGGACAAGTGGTCGTTGATTTTTGTGCAGAGACGTAGGACACAAATAGTGGACGGCCTTGGGGAGAGCCAGGGCCGGACCCCACAGATGCTGGGCAGTCTTCAAGCTGTAGCACCAGCTCCTTCAACTGCAGGAGACGGGGGTGGCTACGGGGCTGCAGAGCTAGCGGGATGCTGTTTGTGCGCAGTGGGACACAGGTGATGCAGCGGAAACTAGAACGGTGCGGTCAGGAAGCAGACCCGACTCTTCTGCAGCTGCAGGAGGTGACACGGAGGCAGAGCGGATGCAGACCTGGGCCCACCCTGCAGCTGGTCAGGTGCTGAGCCCGCCCTGGAGCGGCAGCCACACAGGCGCAGTAATTACAAAGCAGGTAGCGGGCAGATGCACATGCCCGACAGGTGCTGCACGGGAGTGGGGAGTGTCATTGGAGACTGGGGCAGAGGGGAGCCTGTCCTGACTTGGGGTGGCGGGCCGTCTGTGGTGGGAGCAGAGTCGCAATGCCAGGGTTTCTGCATGGTGGCGGCGAGGAGGGGGCCAGGTAATAAGACGATGTTCTCTTCCATGTTTTGTCTCTCCCAGCTACCTCCTTACCCAATAGCTGGGCACTTGGAGGGAAGTGACAGTAGGAGCTGGGCAAGGAGACAGGGGTTCCTGGAGAAGAAAGAGAATCGTTTCCAGGGTGCAGGAGAGAAGACACCAAGGCAAGAGCAGAGGAGGGCTCACCCTGTGGCTCTGCCCTGTCAGGGAGACACCTTTGCCTCTTTATGTTACCAGTGAGGAAGCTGAGGCCTGGGTCAGCTAAGGAGCAGGGACCACAGCGGAGACATGGATTGTGCAGCACACATGCCGTTAGCACCCATGGCTAGATGTCAGGTGCACGTTTAAAGTCCTGTCTGTGAACCTGAGGCTCCAGCAGAACGTGATTTACAACAAAAGCGAGTCCCCTGTTGGAGTGAGCGGAGGGGACTGGAGCTACTACCTTGCTAACACAGGTGACGGATGACCCAGGGATGGATAACTGGATTCGTTCTTTCTTATCTCTGCCTGGTGTTGTGCCCGGGAGAGTTACACTGCCACCAATGTTATCTCACCTTCAGTGCAAGAGTTTCTTTCTTTAATGAAGAGTCTCGGGTGGCTGAAGCAAGCACAGCTTTGCAGAAGTCACCCACCACCGACCCCCCTCCCCGGGCCTCAGTTTCCCCATCTGTAAAAGTCAGAGATGATCCCCGGACTCGCCCCGGACTCCCTTTCAGTTGAAAGAAATTTACAGTCACAGCTGTGGAGAGTTGACAAGGACCCCTCTGGGGAGTCGGGGTGAGGCTCTGTGATGCCTGTCTTAATTCTCTAGGGTTTTGCTGCAGGATGTGACTAGAGACTTTCACCCATGTGGTGAGGAAGGACACAGCTGGTGCAGTCCCTGGGCCACCCTTCAAGATAGCGCTGGCCCAGGTGCTCTGTCCTGTGTCTGGGGACACCGGCTCTTGGTGTCCTCCAGGGACAAGGCAATGACAACCAGAAAACCCCGAGCTCCCGAGCGGAGAGAAGATTCTGTGTTGCCGCCTTGCTCCTCGGGCTGCCCTGGGTAGGTTTTATCCATTCTGAAAATTAAAAGACATTTTCATATGGCGAGAACGCCTGTACCCACCGGGGCAGTGATCTCCACTCAGCAGAAGGGGCTTCTCTGAAGGTGGTCCCGAGGTGAGGGGATCTCCAGGTCCCGCCCCAGCCTTATGGAATCAGGATCTCAGGGGGTGGCGGTTAGGGATAAAATGCAATTTTAAAATTTATCTATTTTATTTGAGATAGACTGTGGGGAGCAACCCGGACTAGACTAAGTTACTGGAATTAGGACTTATTCTATGCATCTGCTCTCCCACAATATGGCGCTGAGAAGGGAGAAACAGCTTCTACACAGCTGCCTCCAGTTCAACCAATAGACTGTGGGACCTGCTCCTGATTGGAGGAGAGCAGCGTACTCGGCGTGTGGGTAGCAGAGTTGGGATTGGTGGAAGAGGACTATAAAGGAGGAGAGAGACAACATGCACCAGGAACATCTAAGGGGAACATCTATCTGAAGGAACACCTGTGCAGCCCCCGAGAGAGCCGGCCGGCGGTGTGCCGCTCCCCCGCGGAAGTGGGGAATGTGGCAGGGGGAACCGCCCTTCCACGGAGGTGGAAGGGTCGGCAGCCAACCCGGGAAGAACCAGCAGCAAACCCGGGGAGGGCCGAGCAGACAAAAGAACAGCGCAGGGTCCTGTGTCGTTCCTCCACGAAGACGGGGAGCGACATAATGGTGCCGTGACTCGGATATGAAGCCTAGGCAGGGTTTAGTGTCGCTCCTCCACGAAGAGGGGGAGCGACATAGACAGCTCTCTAAATGCCTACGGTGGGTGGGGCTGGACCACAGTGAAGCCAGGAGCCCGGGGCTCAGTCCCAGTCTCCCACGTGGGTGGCAGGGACTCAATGACTTGAGCTGTCACCTGCTGCCTCCCAGGGTGCACATTAACAGGAAGTTGGAGTTGGGCAGGGAACCCACACTCTCCAATACAGTAATGGGCATTCTAACCAGTGTCTCAGCCATGAGGCCAGAGGCCCACCCTGCTGTCTCTTTTCAACAAGCCCCTTATGTTTTCTTATGCACCTTGAAGCTTAAGAGTGGCAGAAGGAAAACTTTCCTTAGAGGAGTTGCAAACACAAGTGCCTCAGGGTCCTAGCCAAAGGAGGGGCCAGGTGACAGGGGGCCGGAGGGGACCTAAAGCCCACAAGCCCTGTTGATTCGGCAGCCACTGCTCAGCTCCTGGGGATTTTTGCATTGAAGAATTTGAGTCCCTTCTGCACACTGTGGTGCAGAGGGTGAAGCCACTGCCTGCAGTGCTGGCATCCCAGACTGGAGCACCTGTTACACCCCCGGCTGCTCTGATCCAGCTTCTGTTAGTCTACCTGGGAAAGAAGCAGAAGATGGCCAGAGTTGCAGGCTCCTGGCTTTGGCCTGGCCCAGCCCCAGCCATTACAGTCATCTGGGGGATGAACCAGCAGATCAAAGATCTGTGTGTGTGTGTGTGTGTGTGTGTGTGTGTTCTCTCCTTCTCTCTCTGTTTCTCTTCCTTGTAAATAAATAAATCTTTAACAAAAAATAAAAATAATAATGTGGGCCTAGCTTGACTAGAGCTAAGCATTTCGCATAAGAGCTGAAAATCTAAATCTTTCTTTGAAATCTCCCAGTCATTAGTGTGGCCTTAAAACATTTCTGAGTTTCTCATTCGCAATTTCTAAACATGATGCATTGGCCAAACAATACACCTAGCTCATTTAAATGTCAATCCATGTAAGCCAGGAAAGCAGTGGTTCCTCAAACGTCCAGAACATCTGGAAGCCACGGTACCCCTTTGTAGAATACTGTAAGCCGTGGTTCTCACCCCCTGGCTGCACTTTAGAACATCTGGAGATCTTTAAAGAATGCCGTGGACCCCCCAACTCCAACACAGTCCGCATCCAGGCATCGTCTGTCTTTAAAGCTTTCCAGGTGATTCGAGCATCCAGGCAGGGGAGAAGTACACACGTGGGGGTGTGCAGACCTTCCTGGAAGCCAGCAGAAGTGATGAGCATGGGCGGAGGCACACCCAGCAGCCCAGCTGTCTGCAGACGCTTCAGGAGGCAGTCAAGGACTAGACATGGCGACCCTCTTTTCCCATGAACTCTCTGCACAAATATTCTCCCTTTGCACCCTAAAGCCAAATGTAGAAAGTGGCATCCATCAACATATATTTCTCTGTGAAATGGGCAAAAAGTTGGTCCTAATTTAACTGAGAAAGGTGGACTCCCTCACCCAGCTCTCCGTATTGCTAGTGTCGAGCGGAAGCATGGTGGCCTGGGAGCTGACAATTACCTGAAGCACAGAATGGCACTCTGTGTCCTCACGGACTCCTGTCTCATTGTGTTGATGAAGCTATCGTCACTCTTTCATAAATGAGGTGTGGTCAGATGACCTAGGTTCAAATCCTACCTCTGGGGCCAGCACTGTGGTGCAGCGGGTTAACGCCCTGGCCTGCAGTGCCGGCATCCCATTCAAGTCCCGGCTGCTCCACTTCCGATCCAGCTCTCTGCTATGGCCTGGGAAAGCAGTAGAGGATGGCCCAAGTCCTTGGGCCCCTGCACCGATGTGGGAGACCTGGAAGAAGCTCCTGGCTCCTGGCTTTGGATCGGTGCAGCTGTGGCTGTTGTGGCCATCTGGGGAGTGAACCAGTGAATGGAAGACCTCTCTCTCTTTCTCTCTCTCTCTCTCTCTGTGTATGTGTGTGTGTGTGTAACTCTTTGAAGTAAATAAATAAATCTTGAAAAAAAAAAAATCCCACCTCTGCCACCTACTGATTGACCCCAAGGTCATTTAACTTTCCTGACAGTTTTGTTCCCTGTAGAATGACAATTTTTATGTATTCTCATTCACTTTGATGGCTGTTAGAGAATCAGGTGGGTTGATAACAGCTCTATAAAATGTGCAGGATGCTATTGTAGCTATCGTATTTTGTTTACTTATTTACACACGAATCCATCCCACAAAGTGGCACTTCAGAATGTTCATGGAAACTGAATTAAAATATCAATTTATTTTGGTGCAAAAAATTAGAAATTTAATTAAAAATGCATAGTTGTTTTCATAATATGCATTTCCATGCACTTTTTTTGAAGACTCTTTGTATTTATTTATTTTAAATTAGTTGATTTATTTGAGAAGCAGAGAGAGCTCCCATCTGCTGGTTCACTCCCCAAATTCCTGCCACAGCGGGGGCTGGACAGGAGTCGAGGCCGGGAACCAGGAATGCTACCCATGTCTCCTGTGTGGATCCCAGTTCCTGGAGACATCACTCAAACTGCCGGCTTCCAGAAAGATCTGCACACACCGTGTGTGTGCTTCTCTCCTTTGCCTGGAACTCGAATCACTGGAGAGCTTTAAAGACAGACGATGTCTCGACACCCTCCCCGGTGATGCTGACTGTGTTGGACTTGGGGGGTCCACAGCATTTTTAAAAGATTTCCAGATGGGGCCGGCGCCGCGGCTCACTAGGCTAATCCTCCACCTGCGGCGCGGACACCCCGGGTTCTAGTCCTGGTAGGGGCGCTGGATTCTGTCCCTTGTTGCCCCTCTTCCAGGCCAGCTCTCTGCTGTGGCCCGGGAGTGCAGTGGAGGATGGCCCAAGTGCTTGGGCCCTGCACCCCATGGGAGACCAGGAGAAGCACCTGGCTCCTGCCTTCAGATCAGCGCGGTGCGCTGGCCGTGGCGGCCATTGGAGGGTGAACCAACGGCAAAGGAAGACCTTTCTCTCTGTCCCTCTCTGTCTCACTGTCCACTCTGCCTGTCAAAAAAAAAAAAAAAAATCTCCGGATGTTCTACAGTGCAGCCTCCCAGGGTCTGCACTGATGGGAAGCTGGAGCCCAGAGCCAGAGCCAGGAATTGAACTCAGGTGCAGCAGTGTGCATGTTAACTGCGAGGCTCAGTGCCCACTGCTAACCTCGTATTTAAAACGTCACTGTTACTCCGTATCTGCCAGGCAGTGCTGTTCGCAGCACGAAGGATTGTGTGCGAGCCCCGCCTGCTGGCGCCGCTTTGCCAGTGTTGACCCACGTGTGGCTCCGGCCAGGACCCTTCGGACTTGGCTTCCTTCATCCAAAGAGGGCAGCACTTGATGACGCCCAGCGTCCCTTCTAACTCTTAGAATCCAGAGCTTTTGGTGACAGGAAAGCACCCTCCCTATCTTGAAATTTCCTTCACATCCTCACCAAGAGGATTCCACCTGGGGACATGGATCCACGTCTGATGGACTGGAAAATTCTGAGGCAGGACGGTCACCAGGACCCTGGGCTTCCTGTAGCTCGTGGTTCTCCCCGTCTGCTGGCTTCCCCCCGCCTTGACTTGGCCTTCGTTGTTCTCACCAGCAGGTGTCATTTCTTGTGCCCCTCGTCGTTTTTATTTTTATATTTTAAAGATTTGTTTATCTGAAAGAGTGACAGAGTGAGAGAGAGAGAGAGAGAGATCTTTCATCCACTGGTTCACTCCCCAGATGGCTGCAGCAGCCACTTCTGGGCCAGGTTGGAGCCAGGAGCCATCGAGGTTCCCATGTGAGTGGCCAGGAGAGCAGGTACTTGTGCAGGTGCCTTAGCAGGAAGCTGGATGGGAAATGGAGCAGCCGGGACTTGAACCGGCGCCCATATGGAATACCTGCACAGAAAGGGGGCAGCGTGACCTGCTGGGCCACGCAGGTTCCCCCCTACTGCTTTTTACAGTAGGGTGCACACTGCACTCCTCTGTAATTCCCCTTGCAGCCAGTCACTGGAGGTGCTGTTATAACTGAAGCCATACTGATGACAACTCCGTCAAGACCCTTGAGAGGGCCACCAGTCCCAAGTAGCTTTCCCATATCCCGAGGATCGCTGTCAGGTAAACTGAGGCATGAGGTTGCTGTCCACCGAGTCTTCTCTGGTTTAGCTGAAAGGCGTGGGGAGTAGCTGGCAGTGCTTGTTCTTTCAAGGCCAATTAATCAGGGCTTCATTAGCCGGCATTCGCACATTTGTTTTCCTAACATCTGTTCCATTAATTTTCTAAGAACCTGTGTCGGGCCCACCAGATGGCAATTTCCAGAGCACGCACCCGTTCTTTCCTAAAGATCAGTGGCGCATTTGCCTGTTTCCAGGCGTCTGATCCTCCCCGCCTCGCCCGCGCCTTCCCACACCACCCCTCGGGGCGATTATGAGCTCATTCCAGCCACATCCATTATGCGTGGAATCTGGGTCTAGGAGCTTGGATTTCACCTTCTGCTCAGGCCTTGCAGCGGTCAGACGTGCGGGAGCCAAGCAGAGACGGTGGGGTCTTTCTCTCTTATCCGGCTCTGGCACGTGCTGCCCTCTGTCTTGTGGGCAGGGAGGGAGAGGCCAGCAGGGTGACAGAGCCTGGCCTGGCACACACTGCCGAGGGGGAGTGACGTGTGTGAGCTGAAGAAGCATCTATGTGTGCCAGGCTCCAGGTGCGGTGTTTTAGGCACTGCCTTGCTCAGACACCTTCCTTGGCTTCTTACTGTTTGCAGGATAAAACCCCAGCCCTCAGAGCAACAGGTGGACCCCAGTCTTTCCTCACCTGGTGCCAGCTGCTGCCGTTCCCCCTTCCTCGCTTCCTTTCCACCCTGCCCAGCCTTTGCTGAAATCGCTCTCCTCCCCAGCCTCCCCCCTGCCCTCCTGCAGGGACCAGACCAGCTGCACCCCGTGTGCAGAGTGCTCCCTGCCGTGTCCCTCCTCCGACTGCCTGAAGCCACTCCTCCCTGGCCCTGCTATCTGGGCCCACGTTTGGGTCGCCTCTTCCGGATTGTCATCCCCTGGAAGGCAGAGGCCGTGTCCACTTTGTGCGTCTCAGTGTTGGCACAACGCTCGGCACGTATGGCATCATACACAGCTGGTAAATGAACGGCTGAGCGTCTTCTCTCACTATGAGGGCAGACTCGGAGCGAGAATCGCTCGCATCTTTTGAGAATCTGTATTTTCTTTTTTTAAAAATATTTATTTATTTATTTGAAGGCAGAGTTATAAAGAGGCGGAAGCAGAGAGAGAGAGAGAGAGGGAGAGAGAGAGAGTCTTCCATCTGCTGTTCACTTCCCAAATGGCTGCAAAGGCTGGAGCTTCTCCGATCGGAAGCCAGGAGCTTCTTCCAGGTGCCCCACGTGGGTGCAGGGGCCCAAGCACTTGGGCCATCCTCTACTGCTTTCCCAGGCCATAGCAGAGAGCTGGATCAGAAGTAGAGCAGCCAGGACTCGAACCGGCAGCCATATGGGATGCTGGCACTGCAGGCAGTGGCTTTACCTGCTACGCCACAGCACTGACCCTGAGAATCTGTATTTTCTAAAACAGTAGGAAAAACTGGCTGGAGAGCTTAGCAGAGTTGGGGTGCCAAGGTGGTTGGAGCAGGAAGCAGTAATATTCGAGTGGCCAGTCTCTAGTGCCAGGGCCGGGGCCTCTGGGGCCTCCCTGCTCCTTGCTCTGGACCGTGTGTGATTCTAGAACCACCGAGAGCCTTCCTCCTCACTCCACCCTCTAGGGAGGTCACAGGTGGGGCGATGGCCACGGGGTGACCCCACTGTTCCTATGGGGCTCACTCACACTGCACGTCTTCCCTCTCCCTGCCTTCTGTCCTAGACGAGCTGGCCGTGTGTCCCAAAGGAATCACCTCCAAGGTTTTCCGCTTCAACGTGTCCTCAGTGGAGAAGAACGGAACCAACCTGTTCCGGGCAGAATTCCGGGTCTTGCGTGTGCCCAACCCCAGCTCCAAGCGCAACGAGCAGAGGATTGAGCTCTTCCAGGTAAACCCGGCACAGAAGCCGTGCAGGTGGGAAAGCCAGCTCTTTCCCATAGGAAGCCTGCCCTGGGAGCAGGGCTCAGCAGACGTGGGCTTGAACCCTGGCTTCTCCGTGTCTGTGTCTGTCTCTGAGCGGGTTCAGAGTTAGCTAAGGGGCTGGAAAGACGCGGCCGGCAGCAGCTTTGTCTTCCTGTTGCTCGGCCGCCTGCCCTCCTCCACGGAGCCCGGCCCTGGGGGTCTCTGTCCTGGCCTCAGGTGCTCGCCTTCCTCTGCCCCGCAGATCCTCCGGCCGGATGAGCACATCGCCAAGCAGCGCTACATCGGCGGCAAGAATCTGCCCACGCGGGGCACCGCCGAGTGGCTGTCCTTTGACGTCACGGACACCGTGCGCGAGTGGCTGCTGCGAAGAGGTAGGTTGCCCCCACCACCACCAGGAGGAGCGTGAACCCCTGGTTCCTCAGGACCTTCGTGAAACATCGGGGTTGCAAGCCTGGCTCCAATTCATTCAGCCAACATTTATCCCATGCAACCTGGGGATTGGGCAGTGAGCAAGACAAGGGGCGGTGCCAGACCACACGGGGGCCTTTGTTCTGGAAGGAAAGACAGCTAGTGAACAAGACTCTCAGATAGTGAAGAGCCCCGCGCACAAGGAGGGGGCAAGGTGACCCTGACAGGTGGGGCCCCCGGCAGCAGCTCGGGCAGGGTCTCTGTGCGCTGAGCTCTGAGTGATGAGAGGAGCCGGCCCTTGAAGGTCAGGCCTCCAGGTGGAGGCGAGCTTGATCTGCCTTAGCAGCTGCAAGCCGGCTGCTGTGGCCGGGGTGGGGTGAGCTCGGGGGGCGGAGGCATTTGCTTCAGGACTTGTCCTGAGCACGGGGAGCAGCTGCAGCGATGCCGAGGGCAGGGCTGGGGTGCGCGGGAGGCAATTCGGTGGACATCTTTCAGAGACCCTCGAGTTGCTCTGAGGCCAAGGGAAGAAGCAGCAAAGCCAGTTGGGGGGGTCACTGCAGCAGCCCGATGTGGGCAGCGTGGACCCGGTCTGGATTTGTTCTGTGTTTTGGCGGTAGGGCCGATGGGACAGGCTGAGCAGGCGCGGGCTGTGGACACGTAAGAGGAGTCCCGGATGACTGCTAAAACTTGAGACCGAGCAGCCAAGTGGTAGCACTGATGGGGGGTGGGGGGAGGTGGCGGGGGGAGAGGCAGCTTGAGAAGCTTCTGTTCTGGGCGATTGCACTGGAAAGGCCCGGCAGAGCGTGTAACGGGTACAGGCGCAACCCGCTTCCTGTGTGCCCGATTCTCACCCGCTCACTCTGTGCACGCCTCACTCTCTCAGGTGGACAGTTAGGTGCTGGCGCCTCCCCCGTGTGCCTACGGAGCTGCTGGAAGAATCGGGTGCATCTGAGAAAACGTCACGGCTTTTGACGTATTTTACAAGAGTGTGTTTTGTTTTTAAAGACTGATTTATTTATTTGAAAGGCAGAATTACAGAAAGACAGAGACAAAGAGATTGAGCAAGAGAGCTTGAGAGAAGCAAGACAGAGATAGGTCCGCCATCTGTTGGGTCGCTTT